CACCGCCGCCCCCGCCCCCAGCCATGCCCCGTTCAAATAGTGGCCAGGACCCTGTCGAATGTGCCGATGAGTCTCAGCTCTCCGATCCCGAGTCTGTGGATGAAGATAGTGCCTTGAATGCCATAGTGGACGATTTAGAGGAAGACCTTGATGAGGATATGCCAGATCCATCTGCCGTAAGCGTCGAAGTTGCATCGACAGGCAAAGCCACGGCCCACCAGGAAGACGGTACGAGGATTGCAACACCGGTACAAGGCACACCAATAGCGAAGCCACCTTCAGAGACGAGGACCCCTGCTTCACGATTGTCTGCACTGTTGCAGAGTTCAGCTATGCGCCAAACCCTGGGAGGAGCGGCGAGCGCTCTTTCGTATGCCGCTGCGGTTCAGTCCACTCCCCAAGACTGGCACATTGAATTTAGTGTGAATGACCAGCCACTCTCGAACGAGACTACCATCTACCGTGCTGTACACTTCACGCGAGCTCAACCACCAGACGGTCCATTGCGTTCAGTGTGGAATGGCATTCATACAATCAAGTTCAAGCGGGTGCAGGGTCCACCACCGAGCGAATCCAGCTCTTTGACACCACCTCCAGAGTCAAAGTCGGACGCTTCCGGCATGCCAGCTTCATTGGATGAACACCCTGTGACATCTGGCATCCTCAGGCTACTCAGCATACTTCACGGATTGAACTCCCATCTTGACGACATCCTCCTTGCGAACAAGGAGCAGATCAAACTCAATGCGGAGCCGCTTTCGCAGTTTGTCAATACGAAGCTTACTGCGAAGCTCAACCGTCAACTTGAGGAGCCTCTTATTGTAGCCAGCAACTGCCTCCCTAGTTGGAGTGAGGATCTGGCCCGCTTTTACCCGTTCCTATTCCCATTCGAGACTCGCCACCTCTTCCTGCAGTCTACCTCGTTTGGTTACTCACGATCAATGACGCGATGGCAGAATTCGCAGCCCACGAGCGATTCACGAGGCGACCGACATCGGGATGAGCGACCCTTCCTGGGCAGACTCCAGCGTCAAAAGGTCCGTATATCACGATCTCGAATCCTCGAGTCTGCCATGAAGGTCATGCAGTTATACGGACACTCTGCCAGTGTGTTGGAAGTTGAATACTTTGAAGAAGTAGGAACTGGCTTGGGACCAACGCTCGAGTTCTACTCGACTGTTTCTCGGGAATTTTCCAAGAAGAAGCTCAAGCTCTGGCGAGAGAATGAATCAAATGACAGCGACGAATACGCTTTTGGCAAGCGAGGACTATATCCCGCACCGATGAGCGAAGAAGAGGCGAACAGCGAGAATGGCGAGAAGCGCCTCGAGTTGTTCAAGGTTCTAGGCAAATTTGTTGCCCGTTCCATGTTGGACTCTCGTATCATCGACATCTCCTTTAATCCAACTTTCTTCCGTATCAATGACGGTTCCAGCACAGCCGTCGTGCCATCTCTTGGGGCCATCAAGACTGTCGATGAGGGTCTGGCCTCATCGCTGTTACTGCTCAAGCAATTCGCCGATGCTAAGAAGAAGGTTGAGGATAGTGACTTGAGTCCGGAAGAAAAGGCGGTAGCTCTACAAGAAATTGCCATACATGACTGTACCGTGGAGGATCTAGCACTCGACTTCACTCTACCTGGTTATGATTCAATCGAACTCATCGACAACGGCGCAAATACAGCGGTCACGATTGAGAACGTCGACTTATATGTGGACAAGGTTATAGATTTCACTTTGGGCTCCGGTGTCGAGCGCCAGGCGAACGCTTTCCGTGAGGGCTTCACAGAGGTATTCCCATATTCTGCACTCAAGGCCTTTACCCCAGACGAACTGGTCATGCTTTTCGGTAGGACCGATGAGGATTGGTCTCTCGAAAGTAAGTTCAGACTCTCTTTGCATCGTGCGATTATGCTAACGAATACCTCAGCATTGGTGGACTCGATCAAGGCAGACCACGGCTACAACCTCGACAGCAAAAGCGTACGCAACCTACTGTTTACAATGAGCCAATTCAATGCGCAAGAACGTCGAGACTTTTTGCAATTCATCACTGGTAGCCCCAAGCTTCCAATTGGAGGTAAGGTCTACCCTTGTCTCATAAAATCACTGTCATGCTAACCTTTTCACAGGCTTCAAGGCTCTTACACCAATGTTCACAGTTGTTTGCAAGCCTAGCGAGCCACCATTCACATCCGACGACTATCTCCCGTCTGTAATGACCTGTGTCAACTATCTCAAGATGCCAGATTACAGCAGCGTCGAGATACTGCGGGAAAAACTCAGCGTCGCCATCCGCGAAGGCCAGGGTGCTTTCCATCTTTCTTAAAATGCAAAGTATAGGTGTGTAGTTTGGAAGACGGAAGGATGACGGGGAGAGATATATGTATACCCTGGTGGTGGAGTCTTTTTCCTTGGGCGCCGCCGGAATATTGATATCCATGGCTTTTTGTTTTGGGAAGATGCAGGTGGTGTCTTTTGTTCATCATGCATAGGTTTCTACGCTTTTATGAAATGGAATGCATTGCGGGGTAGTTTTGGTTCTTTTTGTCTTTTAACTTTTTTTTTCTTCTTTTCCCTTGAAAGGGAAATGCGGCGTTCGAAGCGCATGCTAGTAGTTATTTTGTGCCTTGATAGTTTTTTTTAGTCTGTAATTGCTATCTATACGCAGATTTTTCTTAACATTGGCAGGTTAGCCTTGTCTCTTGTTTCCCCTGCTAAGATCTCATCGGTCCTAAAATAAGGGGGGAGGGGCGGCGGCGGCGGCCAGTGCACCGGAAATCCATCAACCCTCAGTATTATTAGGTTGAGAGGTAAAGTACTTACCGTAATCAGCAACTAATCGCCAACCATGATCAAAATCAGCACTAAATTTAAAAACCTCCGAGATCCCAACGATTACGATTACTTTTCAGGGTCTTTCTCTAAGCCCGTCTCCCCCCCCCCCCCCCCCCCCCCCCCGGGTGGTGAACAAGGGGNGGGGGGGGGGAAGGGGATCCCTCGCACGAGCGTGCACGAACCTTCCCGTATTTCTTTGGTTGCTTCTCGTGTTATTTTGTTTTGTCCTGTCGAAGTCCAAAAAAAGGGTTGTGCGTGGACCACCGTTTTTTTATGCCGTGCCTGGGTATGGCCTGTACTTTTTTAACGTGTGAGTGAGCTCCGAGCGCGCGCGCGGGTGTGCGGAGTGGAGTGGTGTCGGTGTATCTGTTGTGAAGGGGGGTGGGAGGGCTGAGTCGGATATTCGGGTTAAGTACCTTGGGTTTGGGCGATGGGGTTTGAGAGGGGGGTGCGTGTTGGATTGTTTTGGAGGAAGGGAATGGAAGAGATGGCGATTGGTTTTGTTGGTCGACATATCGGGGGTTCTGTCATACGGTACGGATGGGGTTTGATTAGTGGTGGGGTGGGAGATGACTGACTCGTTTGTTCTGACCGAGGAGTGGACAGAGCGTTTTTTCTGCTGGATGTTCGTGTCGGGGGTTTTTTTTTGTACAGTGACTGGTGAGGGGGGGGGGGGGGGGGGGGGGGGGGGGGGGGGGGGGGGGGTGAGATGAGAGTTGTTCATAATGTTTCTTTTTTTGGAGTCAGCACTGATTTTATGTATGTATGTTTGCGCGTCTGACTTGCGCATTTGGCCTTGAGGAAGTGTTTGACTTCTCCCCCTACCTTCCTTCTTTTGGCGTGAGAGAGAGATAGAGAGACATCGTTGTAGCTCGCATCCTTCTTCCTGTTCGATCGTTCTTTCTGGTTGTTGTTGTTGTTTTTTTGTTGCTTCGTTCTCCGGCCTGCCCTTTCCTCTCCACGCTACGCCACACTAAGTGCATTGCTGTCTTCTCCTTTTATTTCCCATCCCTCATATCTCAACCCGTTTTGTTTTCGAACACATCTTTTGAGAGAAAAGTCTACATCCAACCGGATACTATCACGAAGGAACAAAAAACCACACACACAAACACACATCATGTCTACCTCACCGCAAACCCACCCACTCCTCACTCGGGACCACTACGATACCAAAAACACCCTATCCATCTTCCACGATGAGTCAAAAAAACGCGGCCTTATCATCGTCATTGTCCTTAGCGTCTTCGCCACCGTCGGCATGCTAGCTCTCATCTGCCTGCTCATCTGCCTCAAGAGGAAGCGCGACCGTCGTAACAAGGCCGCGAAAATGGATGCGGAGAAGGGCTCGATTTGGCCAGGGATGAAGAAAGGAAAATACCAAAAGGTTGAGGATGAAGATCACAGAGAGGGGGTATGGAGTGCGGATATGGAGTTGGATGAGAGAACCGCGTATAATGGGGCTGGGTATGGCGAGGGTGTGGGCAAGGAGCCGTATAGGCCGGTGAGATGATGATGTTATGCACGGGGATAGGAATGGAAAGCTAACGAGATTTAGACTGATTCGCATGCCTCCAAGTGAGCGGAGGTGCTCGTGGATTCTATAGATTTTTGGGGGATTTTCTATTGTATATTTTCTGGAGAGTTTTTTTCAGCGAGCATATGGGTGGGATGGAAAGACATTTCTACGGAGTTCTCGTTTCATAATTACTCAAATGGAAGGGGTAAGTGGTTTTAGTTTTTTTATTATTTGTTGCTGGGTTGTTGTCTTTGAGGTTGGTGTAGCCGCGACTTTGAGCAGCACTCGGAAAGGCTGTCCTCCATGTAGGAATAAGAGAAGAGACATTGGAAGACTAAGTCATAGTTGGCGAGATGCCGTGGTATTTAGTCACTAGACCGATATTTTTGAGATGGTTGCAGGAATAATTGTGTATAATGTCAGTTTTGCTTAGGTTGCCGAGATTTACCTAAGTGTCGGTCAAAATGTAACTGTGTACAATGTGAATTGCAACCCTTTAGTACAGTGGATATACACCTATCGAGGGCCTGGTTCTTTTACTAAACACTAGAATCTACTACTATTCGAGGCAGCAACACAAGCACAGGCTTATTCTATTCAAACATCCATGTTAACCCAACATCTTGATTTCTACATTATCTAACCCATCTTAATCGTAAATCTATCCGCATAGTCGCAGCCTACTACAACAATCAAACGAAACCCCTTGATCTAACAATCAAAAAAGGGCTTCTTCAAGCACACCAAAAAAAAACACTCCAACCTCCAATCACATCCCCGCCCTCCTCTCCTCCAACATTTCCTCCACATGCTTATTCAACCAATACTCCCTCAGCGCCCCCTCGTCCATATCCCTCGCCCCCTTGATAACCCCCTTACACGCCTCCTCCTTGCACAAACACTCAAACGGCTGCGCCATACTCCACTCGGTGCTCGGGTAAAAAAACGTCAGCTCGTCGCCCTCCCTGAGCCCCTCGCCACGCTCGCTAACCCGCACCTCCCACTTTTGCATGTCGAACACGAGACTGGGCTTGCAGCTGTGGTTTATGTAGAGCAAGTCGCAGTTGAGCTCGATGTGTAGGTCGCGCGAGGCTTGCACGGAGGAATAGGCGACGCTGGCGGGGGTGGGGTTCGTGATGCGCGCGAAGAGGGCGCCGGGGGGGAGCGTGACGAGGGAGATGGAGCGGCTGGTGAAGGAGCCGGGGTTGTGTTCTACGCGGAGGAGGCGGGTAAGGTCGGGTTGGACCCAGGCGGGGATTTGTTGGTGGGAGGTGCTGGGTTGGGTCACGTGTTTGGTGGGGGTTTGGGCGGCCGTGGTGGGGGTTACGGAGGGGGTTGGCGGCACGGCTGAGGGAGACATGGTCGTGAGATCTTGTGTGGAATCTTGAGGTGGAATTTTGAGTATGTATAGGGATTGGAATTGGAGAGTATTATGTAGGCTAGTAAGGACAGGAGAGAGAGGGATTGTCTGTTCTTTAGTACTCGGCTTGTACTAAGAGCTCTGTTGACCGGACTATGCGTTCAAATGCCGTCTGACCGAGGGATACCAAGCCCCGTGTGAAGACGTAGTCCTTGTTTCTGTGTGGGTATCCTAAGGACGGCTCCATATTGTGGTTCGCGCCTTACGGCCATGTGTGGGTACATCCCACGGTGCGACATGCCATGACTTGCACTTGTACACATGTCGTATAAGACCCGTTAGTAGCGTGGTGTTTGTGCCGAGGTACTCTACGGCACAAGAGGATAAGTTCCGGTTATTAGCTTTGGAGTAGTGGAATATACTTTACTGTCTCTGTTCAACTCACATACGGAAAGATTGAGAGAGGAAGGGAGGACAGGCAGACAGTGCATATGTGCTCTCGCCTTGCTCTACCTCATCCTGTTTTGCCATTGAAGATGTATCGATTCTTTCAACACGTCTTTCAGCATACGTCGTTAGACAGTATGTTCTGATTTTGACCAGTAGTATTCTCGGTTCGTGCAACGTCCTAACTAGTTACATAGTAGTAGCGCCCACCTAGCCCGCAAACAGCAACACTCCGCTGCACATTTCCCTGATATTCGGCTTACTGCAGAAGTATGATCTGTCCTGAAGAATGTCTCACTTTGATTAAAGGACTGTGGTCCTAAATGATTTGGAATTGAGCTTTCAAGGGACCAAGCGCCACGTAGACAGAATTGTCCTGGTTGATCTCTGGGTACATCTCGACAGGCGCAGTCTCGCAGTTTTATGCTCTGAACCGCCTGTACCTTATTCGGCTCAGATGGTCTTTCTTGTGGACCCTTCTGGTGCAGTCTAAACCCACCATACATTCTAGGCTAGTTATACCCAGACGTCATCCTTGAGCTTGTGAACGACGCTGAGGGTTTCAGTATTTTAGCTACGTATGACTCTGTTTACTAACTGTTATGACTACAAGCTGAGTAATTTTACTACGTTGCTATCCACTGTCACTCAACATATTTGGAGATCAATTGCTAGGTTCTAGGCATTTCACATGTGATTTCGCAACAAGCAAATCTCATCAGCTCTAGCTCCATGATTCGAAATCATGGTATCCATTAATCTGTGCTCGTGATAGTTTCGTGACATCTACAATCGCCATCTTTTTACTTCGTATAAGTTTGCTCAACAGGCGAGACCTGGTCATCGCTATCAACGCCCGTCGCCGGTACACCTTGCAACCCCATTTTACTAGTATCGTACCCGTGCGCAGAAAGGTACTCTCTAAACTTGATGTCCTCTTGGTCAATCGTGTCTTGGCCAATGTGCGGGAGTAGCAGTACCAATGCAGCAGCTAGAAAAGCCAGAGATGAGGCTACGAAGAATGGGTTGCGGCCAGCTGCAATCTCGTCGTCGCCGGCTGCCTTTTGAATAGCGTCGAGGGCGTAAGAACCGGAGAATGCTCCGATTTTGCCTACTGCGGCTGCGATTCCGTAGTATTGTCCGCTGGGAAGATGTTAGTTCGAAAATCTCCGGTACGTTTCAAGAAGGATGGATTCAATGCATACCGTATACCAGTAGCGCACGTCTTGGACGCCACCAAACCAATGTTGTCCCCAGGACCAAACTCTCCAAGTGCAAGGAAAATACCATATACAACCACAAATCCAGCAACATTTTCGGGCTTACTCAGCCACGGATAGCATCCGGCCATAATGAAACCGATGATTCCCTGCAGCGTGACCCCGATAAATAGTGTCTTCTTTGGGCCCATAGAAGGCAGATCGGCAACAAAAGCACCAGCGAGACAGCCAGGCATGTAGAAGAAGTTGATGAGAATATTCCACGCCAGACTCTTCCACAGCGGCGCCGATTTTCCGAGTAAATTGGCCAGGATAGAGGTCGCGTAGATACCGAAAGAGTAGGCGCTGAAGTCATAAATGAACCAAATAATGCTGACAATGCTGAGCCGGAACCAATAGAACTTGACAATGAGCAGCCATGGTGTTTTCGCTTTAGCAAGAGACTCGCGCTGGAACGCCTCGGGTTCCTGCAGTTTGAGACGAAGGTACAGAAGCGACAGAGGGGGGATAATGCCGATGCCGAGACAAATGCGCCAGGCGGCTCGAAGATGGTTTTCGCCGGTGATAACAACAACGACTGTGGCGACGATTGCGCTGATGAAAAAGGCTAGGTCGATTTGTACGTTGGTGAAGAGGATAAACCATTTATTTCGTGTTCCTTCTTTGAGCTCGCCTGTTGATTCGGCACAGCCTACGCTGCCGGCTGGATATTCTCCGCCAATGCCTGCTTGCGTCAGTATATCATTGGCGTTGGAATTCTTGCATTGAACATCATACCGATCCCTAGGAAAAAGCGATATACAACCAACGCTGTGAGTAAACCGCTTGGGCTGCCGCCAGCTCCATACGAAGCCGTGCCTAGTGTTGCGAATAGGATAATGATGATTGTCGAAGTGAACAAGGACCATTTTCTCGAAAAGTGGTCAGATGTGTAGCCGAAGAATAACATGCCCACCACCGTTCCAGCAAATGTTATACTCGCTACATTTGCCTGTGCCGAAGACGACGCATACGATTTGGGATAGATGGTCTTGAGCATAGTGTTTACAGGTCCGATAATCTAGACATAGTGTTAGCGAATCCAAAGATCCCATAATATTTCTGTTCTGATGATGCTTTGGGCAAATTTTTTTGTTGCTGCGCTGGGACTTGTTGTCGCCTGGGTGTTGTCGTACGTTATTCAGATAGCCATCACTAAAAAGACCGGCGCCACACGCAATCACAGGCCACAAGCGCTCCCATCTTCCCTTTTCCGTCCTTGCGACACTGCCTCGCCGTTCGACATCTTTTTCAGTTGTGTGATCAAGCTCGGGCTTAACTTCTACTGCAGAAGCCATGGCGGTGGAAGCTGCTTGGTCGCGTGGTTTCTTGGAACTTCACCTCGTGTGGCAGGCGAATCGAAAGTGCCCTATTGCAGTGACAAAACAGGTCTTGTGGGCGGACAGCCTGACATTTAAACAGCTCGGTTCTTGTGGCGACGCAGTGGTGCTAAAGCCGCGGGGACTGTAGGGACCCCGTGATCGAGTTTTCTTTCCAACCAGGTTGGGCATGGTGCAGAGGTGGTGATGCAGATCGAGCGTCGGTAGCCACTCGGAGCACAGCAAAAGCTTTGCTCAGGTGTGTCTGTGTGCGACGGGAAGCTGAATGGCTGGTCTGGATGTAACCGGAAACAGCACGCCTCGAATATTGGGCAGGGGAATACCTAGGGAACGAGGCCGTCACATCCCGTCTTGTACATACTACATGCGCACAGAATGTCGCCAACTTGTGTCTTGGACATACTAGGCCGAATGTTGATACCATCCATCTTGGTGTATTTAATATCGGCGGCCAAAGTGTTTGTTCGTAAGAGATTACATGCTGGTTCCGTAGCATCCACAGTTGATGTATGTAGTAGATAGAGATGGGGGTGGCGGAATCATGATGACGACGACACTCAAGCTTTTGCCATGCTTCGGCAGCCGACGAAGCATTAGCGTTGAGGCTTGAACAGGCGGTTGGCGCTGATGCTACATTGAGCTTAAGTGTGCTGCAACTATGGCACGAGGTGTAGCGTGTAAAGGTCCAATCAACGCCTCGGTTTGTTACGGATTGATAAGATAGGCCAAATCCTACGAGGCGTGGACAGATGACCATCGAACTTCGTGTGTTACAGTAGTGTGGCGCATGGGATGCCTGGCTGCTGCTAGGGCAGAGTAGGATCGTAATGGTAAGCCGCAAAATCACCGTTTCATCCTGCCTCTAGGATCAAAGACTGTGCCTAACATGGACAAGATGATCGAGTTCTGATTCAACATGTCCATGTGCGCAACGGCCCTACAGATAGCGGTGGGACCAGGGCTCCACTGCAAGGAAGTTTTGCGACAGACGCGGTTACGGGCAACTGCTTTTGTACTACTCAACACAAACGGCGGCTGGGTGCGTATGTAATGATGACATTCCAGATGCAATCTCCCGACATGGACCCGAAAACATGGGGCATTGGGGGCATTTGGGTATTGCATTCGCATCGGCCCGAACGGCCACGGCCGAGGGACCGAGGCTCAAGGGTTTTGCCAAACCAGACAACTACAACGATGCGGCCTCCAACACGTGGGAACTTATCCGATAATCCTTCTCGGGCCATTGTTGATACATGGATTAATGTGGCTTCTCTTGTCTGCGCTACTACTACGGACGTACATGAAGAGAAACAAGGCTAAAAAAACAGGACATGTTGCATCTCGCTGCAGGGTATCACGTGAAGGAACGACCAACGGAAAACGCTTATGCATCTACTCATCTCGCCATCGCTCCACCTACTATTTGTTATCAAATACCTTCATGGGGTCAAAAGGCACAGACGTTTTCCGGACCGTCGTCGTTACCGGCCCGTGCGGGTTGACCTGTCCATCTCCGCAAACCAGTCGTCGCCGTTGTTCTTCGTTAGGTTTTTGGAACTGTGATCTTGGTATAGGTGGCGTGACGAATCTTGACTCGGCCGCGACCCAAGCTCTGCAAAAGACCGCCCCATCGTCGAAGCATTGCTTGCCTTGCGTCCTACGAAGCCCGTCCCCATGGGCTGGTTGATGGATGAAGCGGCGCTGTCGTCTCGCCCGTGGTCGCTGCTGCTAAGTTTTTCTCCCGACCTGCGAGGAATGTGGTCCAGTATTGTAGTCACCATGCCATTCTTGCTGTCTCCGCTTGGCGTGCCTTTTCTGTCGGGCAAGCTGATGGCGCCGCTCGAGTCAAAGCTTTCATGCCTCGCTATATCCTCTACATGTATCTCAACTTCGTTGACGACGAAGATCTTGTTGGATGCCAGCGTTGCTATAACTGGCCAGAATATCGGAATCGAAGCGGTGATGATGGCAAAATTGACCTCGAGAACGGCAAAGATGTACACGACCGGTGTGTGGAATGACATATCAAGGTTGGGTAGAGTACCGGCACGGTTGACTACGAGAGTGATTAAGCGGCCCAATGCCACGAATACAACACTGCCTACACGTTAGAGTTGTTCCTTGTGCTCAAGTGAAGATGGGGCTTTGTTCTACTTACGTGGACCCCAGTATGAATAGACCAATCAGTCCCGCTCTGCTCTTACCTGCGATCCTTAATGCAGTGATGAACGGAACAGGCAGGAGCAATACCATGGTGTCGAGTACTAGATTGCTAACAGAATGGCCAAGGAACATGGGAAAGAATTTGGCAGGATCTTTGGAACCCCAACCGATGCATCGGCCCGGAAGATTCATGTTCCAATTTTTGGCTATGGGGCGGCACGAGAAGACTGCTAGCAGGAAGAATGTCAATCCCCATAGTGTGCAGATTACAATCATTCCCCAGATGAGGCGCCTGGCGAGGCGGTATCCATTCGTAGTTGTTGATGGCGCAGCTTCAGCAAATAGACGTAAATACTGGAAGAGGATGGCGAGCTTAATCAGAGTGGCACTAGCACAATATGCCGCATTGGTGGAATAGATGTGCTATTTTCGGTGTTAGTATGAGTTGATGCATGTCGTTAGTGTTGAGCAATAATACCTTGAAATACAACATGAGATGCTCAGCATCAAGTGTCCACAGGTGTAGACCCAGGCCATCACCCGGCACTGTAGTACGTATGTCAGTTGCTAACCCACAGTCCATCTTGTGCTACTACGTACTTATGCACACTATAATGTCACCACAAAAACTCGCGATACCTGCGAGGACGACAAAGCTGTCATCCCAGCCCCAAAGACGGTCTTTGATACGGACCCATAATCGTAGGCTCAGGGTAAGGAATGCTATGCTCTGCTCATTGTTAGCGAGTAAGAACATAAGATGACAGTGGGCGAGTTCTGGCTCATGCTACATACTAGGAAAGCAACAGTAGTTCCTATGATGGTGGCAGGCTGGTTGGACGTTGGCAAATTGGCATTATCCGGGTTGTCTCTCGGGTTTGTCACTGGGACTTGTGTGATGGTCATGGTCACTCGGACGCACCACAGGCGGAGTGAAGGAAGGTATGCGAAGAGGGTGTCGTTGGTCAGTCGGCCTGAAGAGTGGGCTCGTACAGATAATCAGTGCTTAGTTACAGTCAAATTCCATTACGGGGTTTCTGTCAGCCTTGCGCAGAGGGTTCGAGTCGATGACAGGGCAAACGAATGCTGGGGTCGAGTCCAGACTGTGGTGGCAAGCGAGACTGCATTTACAAAGAGATGTAATGCCCTAATAAGACCCAACAGGTGGACCCAGCGATGGGCATATGAAAGTCATGACCTGCATATGTTACACCTCCTTAAACCACATGGCTGCTTACCCCTGCTGTTCCGCATGGAGGATCAAAACTGGGCCACGCAGCTAGGGACAGGGTGAATACAGTGCAAGCCCAGACCCCCCCCCCCTGCTGAGCGTAGTGGATGCGGGTCGTCACCAAGGGCTTGCTTGTCCGGCTCACTTTAAGATGCCGCCCGCACCCCCGTAAACGTTTTTTTCCCTTTAGGCCCCGTGTACTAGTAGTCAAGTAAAGTATGACTAGTGGGTTGACTACTGAGGAATTTAGTGCTCAAGGACAGGTCTACTTTGAAAAAAAGGGCACCGAGATCGTTCGGCGGAGACGAATAAGGCTATGCGATTGGTGGACTGTGATGGAAATCAGGATCCAGCTGCTGAAAATAGGCTTTGAAAAAGGTGTGAAGTGGTAGCGAGCTCAAAGCCAGGCGTCCACCGAGGTGGCGTATTCTATTGGTACCTCGCAGGCCAGTGATGATTCGCAGAAGCCTGAAACGACATAGTACAGAACTCTGTTGCGTTAGGAGCTGTATGAGGCCAGGAATTCTTGGTTTTTTGCTTCTTTGAATGCTGCGGGCTCCAGGCGAGAGGTGCGCCGCAATGTCGCTTACTCAAAAACAAAGGGTAAGCGTCAAACCATAACTGCAGCTCGCGAGCATGCTGGCGATAACAGAATGATATAGCCAGGGGGAATCTTGTCGAAGATCCAATCCTTTGGGAGGCAGTTCCCGCGTGGTGGCGTTGTACTCAGGCACCACGTGCACGGTGAAGCAGGGCAGCGTGTCGAGGTTCAAGGCAAGGCCTTATTGAGATGCTCGTGTTTACGAACGATATGACTCGGGGTTGCATCCGCTCTTGGGGGCCCACCTCCCAAGGCGAGCTACCACCTTGACCAGTCCCCTGCTGGCAGCGTTTCACCACGTCGATCACAGATGAGGGGATGATCTCGGCCGTACCGTGTGGCTAAACCAACGGTTCGCATTGTAAGCGTCAAAGGCTCGGCCAATAGAGCGTGGACGTCATCTTGTCGAGAAGCTGCACTCCGACTGTAGTGGTGGAGATGGTTTTCAGGTCATCGGGCTGGCGTTCCTGGTGCGACGGTCCTATTCCGGGATGGACAAGACGGCCGCTCTTAGAGCCTGGGTGTGCCCCTCATTGCGCCGCTCTTGTGTCGACGATGTTAATCCTCCTATTCGTCACGAATGTGCTGACTGGGGCATGGTCGGGGGTGTAAGCCATTCGAGACTACGCCTCGGGCCCAAGTCGGCATAGTAGTAGGCCATAGCGCTTCCCACTACACCCACTGCATGCTGGTCCAACACTCCGCGTACATGGCCTATTCAAAAGCGGTATGCGCTCTTATTAGAGCCAAGCAGTCGACCCCAACGAGCAATGATACACACCACTTGTGCTGTGTTGGGCAACGGCAGTGGGGAGAGTCGTTGCGAGCACGCGTCACAGCCTTGGATCCCGAGCTGCCATCACGCAAGGCGACAAAGTCCGGTTTCATGTCGCTTGTCCACTGTGACGGTGCTGCTGTCAGGGCCCACGTTGGCATCTGTCAAAGAGGGCGCCACGAAACTAGAGGGTGCAGGGGAAGCGTATGCGAGAAGTAGTGGATGGTACTGTATACGTTGGCAGCCAAGGCCAAGTGTGGCAAGAGGTTGCGAGACGAACAAGGCTTTTTTGCAACCGTCGCTGCACGGCCGCCACATCATGCCTTTCGCCTATCTTATAGGCCATGCCCGTCTGCACGACGCTGTGCAGCAGTCACATTGCGCTCCTGTCACCGCAAACGGGGACCTACTTACGTACTTGCGCCTTGTATGTCGTGATCATGGCGAAGACAACCTAGATCGCCTTCTGGCACACGTACACGTATGTCGGCGTGAATGCCCTGGCCTGGCAATCTGCGGAACCGCCAGGCGATACATTCCATGTTTAACGTTTGCTGTACTTACACATGGTCCCCTTGCGCATGTTTGTATCGCCAATGCCTATGACCAACACCGATGTTGACGACCATACTGCTTACATGACAAAACCTCCGAATCTCTCACTCACACGCACACCTATCCGCTTGACCCCCACAAGTCTGGCTGGCAACAAAAAGGAACTCTTGGACAAAGCAAAGGCCCCAGCCTGCTGGGGTCGGCCTGTTGTGCCTGGCCCATACAAGGCCTGGTGGTGAAAAATCCAACTTAATGCTTGCGGCAATCCCTAAGCACTACATTCTCACTCAGATATTGGCCGTGACACGAGGCCTGGCAAGTGCTCGGCGTTACGGAAGACTAGAGGAATACTGACCGTTTCCCCCATTAGCGCGCATATCTTGTTAAATTACCTGCCATCATCGTTGCCAAATGGTCGGTATCCATAGTGCATACAAAACAACTCTGCCTTCGGTTAGAATATGCTGGCCCAAAAGTCGGCCCATGGGTGCACTTGAGCGATGCCCCGAACAGACGTTTCCCCGAAGCCCGCTACTTACTCAAACCCCATGAGAGCCGCTCGGCTGGATGACGCTACGTACTAGAGTGGAGCTCAATCTAGCCAGGTGCCGTTCCTGCCGCACGCTCTGTTGACAGCGTGCTTTTGTTATCGTACGTTCACGCCTTGAAACGTGATAGCGTATACACGACAATACACCACCTTGCAGCAGCGTAAACAGGCGTCAAGAAAAAAACCTGCTTAGCGCGTCTCCTCTATCCGCAGCACATACAGCTATACGCCAAGAGGATTTAATCTATGCTTGTTTAGTTTTTCCACATAGACACCAAAAGTAACAAAACAGTCTTCGTCTCAGAACATGTTCAGTTCAGCTTCGTTTTCCATCTGCTAAACTCAATCCAAATACAGTATGAGCTCCGTCTAAGAAACAAAGGAATTACGTGATTGCGCTAGTCATAGGACCAGCTTCCCCTCTCCTATTGAAGCTCTGAACCTAGAATTGGAACAAAATGAAAACGGGAAATGGGAAAATCGAAAAGGCTGTCAGCCGATGTATTGACTCAGATAGGTTCGCAGAGCCGCGGTCTAAGGACATGCTTTTGCCGTCCACCCACACACTTCCCCCCCCCCGCCCACACACACACACACACACACACACACACACACACACACAAACTGGGCGACTAGACAATATCACAGGACAGGGTATCTGGAAAGAGCAAAGAGAGAGGTGACTGAGACGTGAAGTTGAGCTAGTGGCACCGTAGGGCAGGATACCTTGGCTTCCGCCACAATGATAACCCCAGAAAGAAATGGCCCAAAGCGTCCGTCCACTGCTCTGGCCGTGTCAGGTGTCATTCCAGCCTGCCATCTGCAAAACTTCCGTGTTTCCTGTCGTCAACATTACATCCTGCTATTGAAGTTTGTGCGCGCCCCCATGCTAAGATCAACAGAACTTTTTTTTTGTGTCCGTGGTGCCCGTGTTCCGGGACCACCCGAGAACTAATCATCATTATTAAAACCATAGCTCAGCTATCACCTTGAAATAGTCATTGCAAATACGAGCATATATCACCCCAAAGAACAAAAAAGAATGTGATTCGATGCACATCGCAACCGCATTGCGAGAATGATCGTTGAACTCTAATTTTGTCATGTCCTCCCCAACCTACACAGCCTCCACACCCATCCGTCTGTATCTGCAGCCTCATAAAATGACATGCAAAACGAACGAATACGATAAGATCTCCTTCCCCTAAACCCTGTGAATACAAATTCTTTCAAAGCATATGTCTCACGCGAAAGTATATGTAGAAAATCCACGCACGCAACACGCAACACGCAAAAGTAGTGTCGTTGGTAAACCCAGCACTGAGGTATCACTGTTCCATCGCAGCGTCGGAATTCGTAAATACGTGCTCATCTTCAGAACTTTGTATAGAAAAAAATCCCTCACAATGATTTAGGATAACTGTTTACTCTATCACCTCAACCAAAAACAAAAATGGAGAAGTTGAAGATCTCTGGATAGAAACTTTGCGTCACTTGGACCAAATGGAGCAGACTGCTTGCACTAGGTCAAGACACTTGCGTTGCTTGCTTGAAAAGTCAATGTAACAAATTTAGAGTGACTAACTTTATTGAATCGACTGACATGGCACCGAGTGAGGCGAAATGCCAGGTCACTTATCTGCCTAAGCTCTACTGTTCTGCCAGAGGCCAACACTCCTATATTCACATATCACACAAGACCAACAATGAAGATATCACGGAAACCACGTTGCCCGCTATCGAATATCCCACCTTTTTTCCCCTCCAAAAGAATAAATAAATAAACTAGTCTAGCCTACAAGTCTAATTCGTGAGAGAAAGTATTTCTGTGTTTTTACTAAACAGAACGTGTGTTTCCGATGCGATTCGCAGAACCTACCTGTCTCTCTTTGCGAACTGCAAGGGGATGAGAAACGCGCAGCATTGTACTGGAATCCAGAACGACAGGCGAGATACTCAGTCAGCCAGTACAGCCGTCTTTCGGGTCTTTGGTAATTATTTTCAAGACGCAATTTCCATGGTACCAAGTGAATTGCAATTCTCTTAGTAAGTATGCACCGGAGGCTCACATGTGCCAAAGTAAACAAGGTCCAATGGACTTTCGAAATGCTCATAGAGTAACTGCGCGACGTACGCTGGTGTTGTATATCTTAGTCCAATCAATTAGGCTACACAGATTCTCTGCAGATATCTGTACAGGGCTATAAGTTCAAAACTTTCATGTCAAAATCCAAAGCTGGATCAAGTGTCTCATATATAGCTGACAATCCTTGTTTTCGACATCTCACATGCCAGAACCTATAGAGCGAGAGAGAACAATGGAAAAAAAAATGCGGCAGAAATGTGGCACATGCACAGCTCGTATCACAAAGGCTTTAGTTGTGGAGAATAACTCCCGGAACCAGGACGACAAAAAAAAAGCCAAGGAAGATAGCTCAGGGAGATTGGAAATACGCATATGAACGCAGTTTGAGACATATGCGTGTGTGAAAATCACTAGCCAGTTACCAAATAAAAGTGACAGAGGCAAATTAAAATCTACATTTCCTCCTACTCCCCTGTATTCCCCTTCGTCTTCCTCGAAACATCGTACAACACCTCCCACTCTACATAACCACAACCACTCACGCAGTCTTCTTCCACTGTGCCCAGACACCCAAAAGCGAACTCGTCGTTCCGGCCAATCCCACAATACCATCATCAAGATCGATCCAGCCAAGCGCCGAACTGGGGATAGTGATATCGCACAGGTCGCTAATGAGCTGGACCCTTACAGCATTAAGCTCGACCTGCAACTTCTTCGTCTCAACAACCTTCTCCGGATCGGAAGACTGGGTAATGGCCTTTGAGCGCTGGAGCAAATTGTAGTACGAGTACAGGCCCGAGGCAATCGAGCACGAGATACCCGCAAACCAGGCGCGGTAGCCTTCGCGCAGGAGGCGCGGGGCGTACGAAGACTTGCGGATGGCGGTTGCGTCGAGCTAATCATGGGGGTTTCACATGTCAGTTTTACTGAGGCTTGCAATCGAAATCGACTTGAACATGACAAAAAGCCAGATTAAGACATACCACGCAAGCGTTATCACACAGCATGTAAAATGCATATCCCAACTGCCTTCCAATAGCGGTAAACCTCAGCACGGGATCCATGCTCTTGGCATCGGTCGCTATGGCCGCAGCCTTGAAGTGCTCGACAAACTTGCCCACGCGCATGAGCTTGCGCGTCTGGCCAAACGTCTTCTTGGTCGCATCGAACGGCGCGATGGTCGATGCTGGGCGGTTGGTGCGGTACAGGTACCAGGCTAGGAATCGAGAAAAGTACTGCAGCGTTCGCAGCACCTTGTCGCGCCCGACTGTTCACATGTCAGATGGATGGAAGAGGGTGATGGGGGCATATAACGTAAGGAAGTGGGTTATGCGGGACATGTTTGTATGCCCTGCATATCAATTAAGCAGCAAGGAAGGCAAAACGTACCAGTTGTCGCGACAAACTTGAGATAATGCGACACCGTTGGGTGGTAAACTAGAGCGTCCGCAACCATGTTGTCTGCTGTGCTTTGGATCCGAATATATCAGACCGAGTATGTAATCGCGAGGGCGAGGGAGGAGAAGAAGTCCAGCTCCAATCTTCTTCTGGTACAAACGGGAGGCGGTTTGTTTTCGGATGTAGAGAGAGAGAGTGTGAGAGTGAGAGAGCAAAGACAGGAGTGTCTGGGAGGGCAGGTGCGGGTTGAGAAAGAGAACGTCTGGGGATGCGACAAGTGCGGAGACCGCGTGCGGAAGCGTAGGGAGTCGGTCACTCTCTGAGCGTGATTGCCGGGGAGAACGCGACCACCTCGGCAACTTGATCCGCACGTCACATTATCGCCTAGCTGACAAGTACACCTAACACGCTTGGAGCTGGACTTGCGCGACACATGTGAATATGGCACGCCGGCTTGTTGCAATCGAAGCACTCGCTTACTTTTTTATTTGTTTATTTCTTCTCCCCTTACCGCTTCGACGTTTCCATTGCAGTCGCTGTTGCATATCTCTGTATCTCCTCATTGACTCCAAGTTATTATCATCATGCCTCGTCACCGATGACTGCATTCACCCTTTGCAGAAAGATATTTGTAAACTCGTTGTATAGACATGTCACATCTGGCTTTGCCAGACCGCTGCGATTCAGCACGTCGCACGTATAGATACCCATTTCATCCACCAGCCCGTCCCACAAGCTTTACACCAAACGCCAATAACGCTACCACCTAGACCTTGTAGAAGCAAAATGCATGATAAAAGTCCGCGGCCTCCAACTCCTCCTCCGAGGTCAGCAACCGGCCTGTCGCACGATCCCTGACCTTCATGACCTCGCTCAGCGGTCCGAGGATTGGATCATCCTTTTGCTCCTCCCAGATATCTCGGAATGGCTTGCGGTACTGCAGCTCGAGATTGAAGTCTTCGGCCAGCGCTCGGAATGCTTCCCACGGTACCACATATTCAGGTGCCTCGACCGCTTCTGTTAGCCAGTACGAATACTTCCAGCCATAGGGCGGGCGGAATGTGCCATCTGGAGGTGTCTTGCCAGGGAACTTGACACTGTAGATGCTGTTTCCAAAGCTGAATCCTTCGTCTTCGACTTCGCCGTCTTCCTGTTCTTCCTTTGCCTTTTCCTTGTCCTTTGCCTCGGTAGGCTTGTCGCCATTCTTGTGTTCCGTGTCAGCGGGCTTGGGGCTATCGAGGCTCTTCTCAGGGTCCCAGTCGTCCTCGTCATCGCTTGCAAACGCTGGGCGGTCGTCATCGTCATCGTCGGTACCGCCATTTGTCTCCGGTGGTGCTGTACCCTTGGCCTTGTGGTGCTCAATGACCTTTTGCGACAAAACGTCCGAGTTGGGTATACAGCCAATAAATCGACCTCCTTTCTTTAGCGCGCCAGCGACGTTTCGAAGCATGCCCTTGGCCTTGGCCTCGCTCTCAAAAGCATAGTGCATGCAGAACATCATCGTGACCATGTCCCAACCGCCACCGCCCCAGCGCTGGCTCATAGCATTTCCCTGCCCAGCACCAGGATCAATGCCCACCTCCTTAATAATGGGTATATCGCCTAGCCACTCGCCAAAGCAGTCTTTTGCGTAAAACTCGCCATGGAAAAGACGCCTGTTTTTCCTTTGCATCTGCGAAAATCGCTCTTTGGCCTGTCGAATGGACACGTCTGCAGGATCACAGCCGACATAGAGCTCGACTTTTCTCGACTTTTCCCACTTGCCCAGGTCACCGCCCTTTCCGCACCCAATATCCAGGATCTTGAGGTGTCGCTCATCGCCAATGAACTTTTGGATGATGGATGACTTGATCCAGTTATTGAAGCTGCGCAGTCCCTTGATTTTGCTGTCAGTGTTGCGCCACTCACGGCCTCGCTCCGGCACCATGTTGTAGTGCTGCTTGACAACATCATGCACACCACGCTGTGCAGCTTCTTCGTGTGCCCGTCTAGCTGCCTCTTCTTCTCGTGCCTGCTGTCGCTTACGAGCCGCTTCTCGGTCGGCAGCAGGCACACGTGCACCTGCTCCCGGACGCTTCCGTTGACGTGGTGGTGATCTGGACGGTGATCTCGAGGGCGAGCGTGCGCGTTTGTTATTTTGCTCGGCGCCCGCCATGGTGTAGCTTCTGGTGCAGCGCGTCTACTGGCGGGTTCTGGGTCCGACGCGTTGGCGACAATGAAGTGTTGGTGGGCGGAGTAGTGTGTTGGAGTATCAGAAAACGTGATTGTACGTGAAAGTATGAAGGGGTTTCGTAGATTAGTAGAAAAGTTAACAAGGTGAGAGAAAAACAAGACTGAAGATTAGAAAGACCAAGTACAGCCGTTGTTCTAGCGTTCCGCGTCTGCAGTGTTCAGGGCCGTGCGCGAGCTTTACCTGCGGAAGTTCAGCGGCGGCGGGCAAGACACTCCCGTCATCACATCAACATCCCCACGACTCAACGCCGTCCGCTATTACCCACCACCACCACTTCCTTACCCTCCCCATCTCACACAATCAGCCACTATGGGTGACCCGCAATTTGCAAAGTACCCCGACCTCCAGCTGTCGCAGCACATCTTCCAGCTCACAAATCCCGCCGCCTCGAAACAAGCAAAGCAAGCTGCCTTGAAGTCGGTTCAGGATGGCATCACCGAGAACAAGATGGCGCCCCTCTACCGGTACCTTGCACACCCTGTAGATGGCGTCCTCAATGCACAAGGCGAGGGCAGCGCAGACCAGCCAAGCAAGAACCGGAGACCTTCCGCCAGCTTAGCGACGATGCTTGCCACACGGACCCCGACGCTCGAGGTGCCACTGCCTTGGGATGAGAAGCTGTACGAGAGCCTAAAGGCCGAGTGCGAGAAGGAGCTGGAGGCGATACAAAAGGAGGAAGAGGAGGCAGAGGAGAAGGCTGGCGAGACCGAAGTGCAGGCTGCGCGGGGAAAGCGCGCAGAACTGTACAACCGCATAGGCGACAAGGTATTTCAGCAGTGCGCTTTACAAAAGGAAAATGCGGCTGACAATGATGCAGGACAAAGCCATTGCCAGCTACGAGGCCATTTTCGAAAAGACGGGCATCCTGGGCACCAAAATCGACCTCGTCCTTGCCATAATACGCATTGCGCTCTTCTTCGGTGACAGGATACTGGCCAAGAAGTCGATTGACCGAGCCAGCGCATTGGTAGAGAGTGGTGGTGACTGGGATCGTCGCAATCGTCTCAAGGCATACACTGGACTGCACTACCTCACTGTCCGATCACACTCACAAGCTGCCCCGCTGCTGCTTGATAGTTTGTCAACCTTTACCAGCTATGAGCTCTGCAGCTATTCGAACCTTGTGGTCTACGCCATTCTTGCTGGCTCGGTAGCACTCAAGCGTGTTGACTTCAAGTCCAAGGTGGTGGATGCGCCAGAGATAAAGGCGATTGTGGGCACCTCGGAGGAGAAGCTCTCCGCCATCACTGGACAGGCCTCGGCAGGACCAGCAGCTGGCGATGAGGAGATGGCAGACGCATCAGGCTCAACAGCAACTCCTGTCCCGACGGTTGTCAATCTCACTACCCTTGGTGGATCACAAGACCAGGAGGCGGCAGTGGACTTTTCTCCGCTATCCAAGCTAGTCAAGAGTTTGTACGAGGGTGATTACAAGGGCTTCTTCGGTGCCCTAGGCGAGGTAGAGACCAACTTTCTCAGCCAAGACCGCTACATGTACGAGCATCGTGGCTGGTATGTCCGCGAGATGCGTCTGCGGGCTTACCAACAGCTCCTCCAGTCGTACCGCGTGGTTGGTCTAGAGAGCATGGCCAGAGATTTCGGTGTTACTGTTGACTTCCTCGACAAGTAAGTCATGTCCTATTGCATGCAGTCTGCACTTGTACTAATTACGACGACCAGGGACCTTGCCCGCTTCATCGCCGCCGACCGCATTCCGTGCACGATTGACCGCGTCAAGGGCATCATTGAGACGAACCGCCCAGACGACAAGAATAAGCAGTACGCGGACGTAGTCAAGCAGGGTGACCAGCTCATCACCAAGCTGCAAAAGTATGGCCAAGCCGTCAGGCTGAGGGGAAGTGAGCGTGGTTAGACATTGGCCTTTAGCCAGGCAAACGTGTAATGATGATGTGATATTCTAGGCCTAGATGAAAACAGCACAAAGACAGCTGAAAGAAATATTAGAGTGAACGCCCATGTCATCGTACTACCTCTTTCGTGCTTGGCGTTGCGGTGAGGGTTTCGGTGCCCGCATTGCATTGCCCTATCCGCAGCCTTAGCCCCGCTATCTCCGTATTGCAGCTCATCGGGAAGGCGGGAGCGGCATGCGGTGCGATAACGGGGCGAAATATTGCTTTTATGTCTTTGAGATATATTTATTGTCTGCCTTTTAGACGTCAATTTGTATCATTGCAACACCCACGCCCCCATTACATCGCTTCTTACGAGCTCGATTCGACGCCGCCGGTGCAGCGCCCACGCCAGGTGTGGGGTGATCGGCCTCGAGCGACGCCGCCGATAAGCTCTCAGGGTCCAGCTACAATGTCGCCGTCATCGGCTCTGGCGCAGGCGTCTGTCCGCTCACTTTGCGCCCATGGCAGTAGAGCGCGGCGGAGTGGTGGCAACGTGGGTTCACAAGGTATTTTCCGATCCCCAGCCCTCTGCCTCTTTGCAACTCGGTCAGTCGCCGACACGACGTGACTAAACATGCCCGCATGGCGCCGCGCTATGACGAGGGGCAGGGTGTTTGTCGTGGGAGCACCACTACGGGTGGGGCACCACTCGAGTAGCATAAAAAATATGGACTACCTTTTGACGCATACATGTCCTACGTGTTTCGAATGCGTTGCGGGAACTAGCATCTTGCATGCGCATCGCCTTCACCGGAACCATACTTAGTCTAGACCTGTGCTCACAACCTTAGTCCTCTATACACCCTTTACCTCCTCCTCCACACTCCTCAACCATCCACTCCTACGACCTTCATCGCCGGCCCGACCCGCACAATTTTCATCGCACCGCCCACACACACGCACAATCATGTCCAAGGCACCAAGCAAGGTGTTGAACATTGGCAACATCAACCCCCACGTCAAGGCAGCCCAGTATGCCGTGCGTGGTGAACTAGCCGTCAAGTCGGAAGAGTACCGCGCCAAGCTGGCAAAGGGTGAGGGCAGTGACCTGCCTTTTGACACTGTCATTGCAGCAAACATTGGCAACCCTCAACAACTAGACCAGAAGCCCATCACATTCTTCAGGCAGGTTGCCAGTATACTCGAGAACCCGGGTCTGCTAGAGCATGAGGATGTCCTGTTCAACAGCCTGGGATACAAGTCGGACGTTGTCGACCGCGCGAGGAAGCTCTTGAAAGAGGTCAAGAGCGTAGGCGCATACAGCCAGAGCCAGGGTGCTCCCGGCATCAGACAGAGCGTGGCAGAGTACATTGAGCGTTCGTACAGCGGTGCCTCCAATCACAAGCTTCCAACTGACAGAGCATAGGACGAGATGGCTACCCAGCCAAGTTTGAGGACATTTACCTCAGCAATGGCGCTTCGTCTGGTGTAAACACACTCCTTCACACAATCTGCGCAAAGCCCGAGACTGGTATCATGGTCCCCATCCCACAATATCCTCTCTACACCGCTACCCTATCAGTACTCAACGCCCGCTGCGTACCATACTACCTCGATGAGGAGCAGGCTTGGGGCACATCGCTCGACTCTATCCGAACAGCCTATGACAAGGCAGTCAGCGAGGGCACGGATGTCAAGGCCATCTGCGTCATCAACCCAGGTAATCCCACCGGCGCTTCGCTCCCGGCTGAGGACATCAAGGCTGTTCTTCAGTTCGCCGCCGAAAAGGGCGTTGTTGTCATCGCAGATGAGGTGTACCAAACCAATGTCTTCATTGGCGAGTTCATCTCTTTCAAAAAGGCCCTCCGTGACCTGCAAAAAGAGACTCCTGGCAAATACGACCACTTGGAGCTGGCTTCTCTCCATTCCGTCTCTAAGGGCATGGTTGGCGAGTGCGGACACCGCGGAGGATACTTCGAGCTTGTCGGCTTTGACCCAGAGGTTGCGCAGGAGGTTTACAAGTTCATCTCCATTCAGCTGTGCCCACCGGTACTCGGCCAGTGCATTGTTGAGATGATGGTCAACCCACCCAAGGAGGGCGAGCCAAGCTATCCTCTGTATAAGGAAGAGTACGATGGCATCTTCAATGGACTGAAGAAGCGCGCGTATGCGCTGTATGAAGCTTTCAAGAAGATGGAGGGAGTGGAATGCAACGAACCTCAGGTGAGTACAGCCCTACTGCTTTACTGAGCCCTTGATTCCTTGCAGAACCAGTAGCTATTCAGGATGCTAACACAAACCATTAGGGCTCCATGTACCTCTTCCCCACCATCCACCTCCCGGAGAAGGCTGTTCAGCAGGCCAAGAAGGAGGGCCGGGCTCCAGACGAGTTCTACTGCTTCCGCATGTTGGACGCGACCGGTGTTTGTGTCGTCGCTGGAACCGGCTTTGGACAAAAGGAGGGAACTTTGCACTTTAGGACGACCTTCCTTGCTCCCGGCACAGACTGGACTGGACGTATTGTCAAGTTCCACGAGGACTTCATGAAGGAGTTCAAGTAGTGCGCACGTGATTTAGGACGACCCCTGGCTGCTCGGTGAAGTAGACTGCGTAGGATTCGTCACAACGAAATAAATGTGCCATGAATGACAATACTTTGAATCGCCTAATGTACTCATACACGTTGACTTGGCACTGATTTGCTGAGTGCCGGGTAGTTGGGGCGGGGTCAGCACCATTCCTTCCGAACGACAAGCGCAATACCGCAACTGCCGTGTCTTGTACCTGAATGGCCCTAGTTCTGGTCCGTGCGACATGCCACTGGACGTGTAGGTAGCCGGACATGTATTTACATACGACGATACGGCGTCTTGGAATCCGCCCCTGTCCCTTTTGCTTCCTTTATCATCAGCTTGTTCCTCGTCTCGCTCGTTGTTTCATGCTTCTACCATTTAGTTATCACCTCCTATATTAATCGACTCTTCGCAAAAACGACGTCATGGGCTTATCAAGAATCGAGATACTACCCGATGAGCTACTCGATCTGATCATGTGCTACCAAGATCGCAGGGCACTTCATGCTCTCTGCCTGGTATCCAAAGACATGAACCGTGTTGCGACTGCCCGACTATATGCAAATATTGAACTCGAAAAAGACGACTTCAAGTACCTTCGCCCCTTAGCGCTTTTATTCTGGACATCTGCACCCCATCGCGAAGCCGTGCGTTCCCTGTGCGTGCGACATGCATACGGCGGCAATCTCGACCCTTGGCCCAATCACCCAGACCTCGATGCTATCATCAGGAAGAACCTTGAGTTGTACGTGAGGCTAGGTGATCGGGAGCATTGGTTCAACGAAATCAGAGACGGTGCTGATTCGACGCGCATCGCGAGTTTGCTGTTGAGAAGCCTGCCTCATGTCATGACAATGCAATTACCTGGCTTTGACTTGGTCGACCCTGCATCGAGAAAGACGGACATTACTTAGTGCGCTGCGAAACATTTCTTAAAATAGAAAACCATGCTTTTCTGTTCAAGAGACTTAATGTTCATAGCGTTCCACAACTGTGGGTTACAACCTGGATGCGCCAGTCAAACATGCAGTAATTGTCAAGTACGCAATTCCTGTTACAGATCGAAAGATCTGCTTCGAGTACCTGTAGTTTTCTTAGGTAGTGCGATGTACGAAGAGAGTGGGCCCCTTTATTCAACTGTGGTTTCGACTTCTCAACGTGCTCAAATGCGGCGACTCGTTTACGATCCGAAAGAACCTGAACCACCGTTAGCCAAACAGTCCATTTCTAGGAAAAAAAATATTCATATTTTCGAAACAACCATCCAGCATCTGTTTCATTATTTCACAAAGCAGAGACAGCGTGTTGGCAAAGCTTTCTTGACCATGGTAGACAGGAAAACAGCCTTGGGGCGCACTTTGTAGGGGCAGAATAGGAAAAAATGTCGATAATGATATTTAAATACTCTTATTCTCAGCACCTCATACCAAGTTAACATTTCAATTCAGCGATACCAACACAATGTTTTCCTCTGCCAACTTTGATGAGGAAAATGGCGAAGTTGTCGTACCAGAGAAGCAAGCTAACAGCGAGCCTTCTTCAAGCTCAACTCCAAACGCAAAACTGGATTCTGCTGAGCAACTCACCTATCTGAATCTGTCCTCATCTCTATCTAACTCGAATCCCTCGGCAGAATGGACTCGATCCCATGGCTTCTGGCGATCTTTCATTGCAATATGCATACCACTGCTTCTTTCCGCACTGGGAGGAAGCATCACCAACACGGCACTACCCACCATCTCTGAGGCTCTCAATTTAAACACCAAATTCTCTTGGATAGCGACCGATTTTCTCCTGGCCAGCACCGTCTTCCAGCCTTTGTACTCTCAACTGGGAGATATGTGGGGACGCAAACGCCCGATGATGGCAGCCATCGCCGTTTTCGCTCTCGGTAGCGCAATATGTGCCGGAGCAAGATCAGGCCCAATGCTGATTTCGGGACGGATCCTGCAGGGCTTAGGCACAGGCGGAATCGATCTCTTCGCTGAAATGATTCTCTGTGACATCGTCCCATTAAGGAAGAGAGGTCCTTATCTAGCGATTAAGCATGTTGCTTTCGCCGCTGGGACGACAATGGGGCCGCTACTCGGCGGTGTATTTGCAGAACAAGGATGGTACTCGTGCTTCCTGATCAACACACCCGTATGTATCATCTCGCTAGCCATCATGTGGATTTGGCTCAGTGTCGACGAAGGTCTCACAAATGGTAAAGTATCTATCGGAGACAATCTGAGAAAGACTGACTATATCGGCAGTGGCATGCTGACTGGCTCTGTGCTTATGATCCTCGTTGCACTCAGCACTGATGGCGCACGCTGGCCTTGGAACCACCCATCTATCATCACACTCATTGTGCTCGGAACACTAGGCCTCATAGGCTTCATCTTCTGGGAACGTTCTCGCTTTTTCAAATATCCTATAATGCCACCCCATGTCTTTTCGAACCGTACGACAAACATTGTCTTCGCATTGACCGTCATGCATGGAATCATAACCTACGGCTTCCAATTCTACCTCCCACTCTATTTCCAAGCCGTCGAAGGCTCGTCCCCGTCAAATTCAGGCGTTGAAGTTATGCCTACGACACTTGTCATTGTTATCATCGCTGCTCTTGGCGGACCCATTCTTAGCTTCACAGGAAGATACAAACACATCCACATGGCTGGCTTCGTCTGTGTAACACTCGGCCAAAGTCTCTGCATAATGCTTGACCACAGCACATCCCCGGGTGTATGGATTAGCATCCAGCTCATCATAGCGTCTGGTCTTGGAATCGTGATTCCGACCATGCTCCCCGCCATCCAAGCAAAGCTCCCCAAAGCTAGCACAGGAGCAAGTGCAGGATCGTGGGCTTTCCTACGCGGAACAGAATCACTATTCGGTGTCGCGATCCCCGGTGCAGTGTTCAACGCGCGCTTCACTTCGCTTCTACCTAGCATCTTCTCGCCAGGCGCCCAGGCAAAGCTCTCTCACGGCCGAGCATACCAGTGTGCAACGGCCTCGTTCATCAATAGATACGGCACCACACCCACTGTAAAGAGCGAGATTGTAACCGCATACACACAATCGCTCAGAAGCATATGGATCATCTTTACCGTCGTGGCTGCGGTAGGCTTCTGTATCAGCTTTTGTGAGAAGGAGTACAAGATGCGGACCGTGTTGAATACGGTTTACGGGCTCAAATCGAAGCAGATGCCAAGCAACGGGGAGCCTGCGGGAAGTAGTACACCGCCATTTTCGGCTGCGTCAATCGTGTCGGAGACGGAAGCGCAGACGCCTGTTAAGAGCTCCGGTGAGGCGGCTGGTCATGAAAGTAAAGAAAGGAGTTCAGAAACTGGATTGTAGAATTTTTGTTCACGTATTACTGAGTTGGGGGAGGTTGCTTTACAAAGAGAATTTTTGTATCTTGTAATGTTTGTCTCTAATGAGGTTTAGCTTCTGCAACTTCACTGTATGTAGATTTGCATAGATTACCTCTTTTTTGTCATTTCTCTCCCTCCCTCTCTCATATTAGATGAGAAGTCGTAGTTCTAATACAATTATTCACCTGAAGTGCGTGGTACAAGGACCTCTTTCTCCTATTAGTAAGTTGGGCACCTATATGTTGATGCACAGGAGTAAAACGATATTCTAATCTATCCTAATTGGCCTGGGAAGAGCTTGTTTATGTATATTGCTCGTATCGAGGTCTAAGTCGGTGTAGGAGTATCCCCGGCCTACTATCGACTGCTTCCTTAATCCGACATGCGTATTTCTAGAATGATGTTATTAGACCATGTCTATAATGGTATTCGGTCCAGCCAGTTAGCGTTTTCTGGACCCGTAAATCCTTAGAATAAGGAGAATTAAGTCAACTATAACTAGTCTTTACCTACATTTCTTAAGATTGCTGCCTAGATCACAGGCCTCACTGTTATTGGTTGGGCAAAAGACGATCGCAGACATGGTGTTTACAGTGTACCGAGAAGTTGAGGTTCTGTCTGATACACCATTGGTTTACGATCAGTTTTCCTTGACTCTGTGCCGTCTTGAGACTCCACTAACCTCGTATCTGTGGAGCTAGCCGCCCATCTCCGAGGTATCATGCATATTGCGATTTACTCTTAGGTAAATAGGTATTCAGCTCGATATACCGGCTGGACACGGATGAGTCGATTTCGTTTAGGAAGAATCTGCTGTTTTCACAATCTTGACGCGACAATCCGAAGTAAATCGTCGTCTATTCGGTGCCAGGTCCTACAATCGCTTAGTACAGCCTTATCAACTCCCCAAGTTCTTATGCTGGATCGGTGATGAGTTCGGCAGTGCATCAGAACCAAGCACCGAGGAATCTTGGAGTTGTTCACGCGACAAGTTGGCTCCGCACTTCCGGCTTGCTTGTGCGGATACTTATCCGTAGCTCGATGGGCAGTGGTATATATCAAAGCAGCTCCCGCCCCTTAACGAGTCCTAGCATCGCACCCCAATGTACATTGACATGCTGACGAAAAAAAAAGGCCTTTGTTGGTTGGCATCACCGTGCTCCCTAGCTTAACCCTTCCGTCGGGTAGTAGGACAAAGGATCAGCGACACACCGTTACATCCAGGCATTTGGTAAACCGGTTTACTCCACAACCCCATGGGGCCCCAACGTGGGCTTTCAGCTTTTGTTGGGAGATCGTCGCTGTCACTGTCATTACTGCCGTCATTACCGCCCCGTCTATTTTATACTCACGGCCGTGATTACCGTATGGCCAGATGAACAACCCGAGGTTTTCTCTAGTACTGCGCGTATTACTCACGTCATCCACGTCCATGACCCGCGAGCGGATATCGCACCGCTGCATATCTATCGACGGATTGGGCTCTTTACTAGCTTCCGGTGTTGTATATGGCATGGCTTGCCATCGCCACTACCTACCGCAAATTGGACCCGGATTATCCCGTGGAGAAGCACAACAACGTTTGGCGCGGTGCGTGATGGCCAAGACGAGAACTGCTCCACGGACTGACTTGGCCGCGATGTGATTGGGTCCGCGGTAGGTGGAAGAAAAGTCGAAGCCACGCTCCTTGGCCGCGCTCGAGACGAAGTCACACCACCCCTCCCAATTTGACCACTTGTTCTCCGAACACACGATCACAGCTGCAGCGCGGCTGAGAACCCATGCACCACAAGACAATTAGCTTTTCACTTATGCAACAAGCTCCACCATTGGCACGAAATCCCCCGCAATGCCACTAGTCCAAGATCTTGGGATCTTGGGGTTGATCTGGGCTCGCTTGGCCTAGACGTTAGTGGAACACCGAGCTGGTTTCCCTGCCACCAGGTCAGTCGGCATCGCGAAACACCAAGCCTTTGTGGACTTGCGAAAGTACTTGTCTCCCCGACAAGGCCGCCGAAGCCCAGGGTTCTGTCTGGGCTTTGACCGGAACCGGTCACAAGGACTGGCTGAGAACTGTTCTCAATGACGAGCCCCAGCCGTCAAGCCTTCAGCCGTCATACGGATTACCTTCCTGGGATGGTATCTGCGTATTTTTTCCTCGCCTCCGATGTCAGCAGTGCATGCTGACCGAGAGAGAGGGTCTTGTCTTTGGAGAAGACTTCTTTGCGTTCTTTGCACTCCCAAGAAGGGACTCGGCGTCGAGGGGACCAAGCTGCCTGTTTGTGACCATCAGTGTAGCTTACAGTAAGTGGCGTTCATACTATTGGAATACCGATACTGCAGTTGCGTCGGATACGAGACCTCCGACAAGTGGGCACTGTCCGTTACCCCGGCCAAAGCTATCAAAATGCGGAAAGGTGAATGGTGATGCCCAGCTTCTAAGGCAGTCCGCCCTGAAGGCCCTCCACAACTCGCATATCTGCGATTCAGAATCGGGATTTGCACCCAATCACTTTGTCTGAGCGCTGGGCAAATGTGTTTGGAAACCCCGCATTCCCCGTTTTAGCCACACCGGCAGCTCCAAACTTGTTCCAAGGCGGCCGGGAGAAGTGCCCTGAGATGGCTTGGAAGGCATGCACGCGCGGAGGTACCTTGACAAGTTCGTGTGTTTTCGGAAGAGAGTAGCAGCTGGGGACTATCTGGGGCAAAAAAATGGATGTCTTCACCCCACACTGAAACGTGGGCTATGAATATAAGAGACAAAGCCCACATCCCCAGATTCTTTCTTCTCCAGATCATCCAGCTCGGTCTCTGGGGATCTAACAGTACTTTGTTCATCTCTTTGTCTACCACATCATTTCCACGTCTTTATAGCTGTAGAACAGTGCCGTGACTGGAATATTGATACAAATCGCCACCATGCAGGACACCAAGAAGGACCATGCCGTCATGATGGAGCGGGCTCAAACTCATGATGATGAGCCCATAAAGCCCATTCCTCAAGTTGACAAGATCGACTATTCAGGAGCTCACGAGAAGACGGATCCGCGAGAAATTGCGCTTGTCAGGAAGCTGGACAAATGGATTATGCCCATGCTGTGGTCTATGTACTGGCTCAACTACCTGGTATGTTCACCTAGCCAAGTGATTGTGAAGATAACAGAATTGCTAACGCTACACAGGATCGTAATGCTATTGCACTGGCACGTCTCGACGATCTGGAGGAGGACCTCAACCTCAGCAGCACACAGTATCAAACCTGCGTTAGCATTCTCTTTGTCGGATATCTGCTTGGTCAGATTCCCAGTAACATGCTTCTCAACCGAGTTCGCCCATCACGGTACATGGGAGTCTGCATGGCTCTGTGGGCCATCGTCTCTGCCCTCACTGCGCTGTCCAAGGACTTTACTGGTCTTCTCCTCACTCGCTTCTTCCTAGGAATCACAGAATCTCCGTACGCACTTATTCCCCACTTAAAAATTGAAGATATTTACTGACTTCCACTTAGATACTACCCAGGTGCTGTCTATCTGCTATCCTCGTTCTACACTCGCAAGGAGGTTGCAACCCGTATCGCCATCCTGTACACTGGAAACATTCTCGCTACTGCCTTCGCTGGCTTGATTGCCGCAGGCATTTTCCACGGCCTAAGCGACGTTGGAGGAATCAGTGGCTGGAAGTGGCTGTTTATCCTCCAGGGAGCCGTCACCTTTGTCATTGCGGTTGCTGGTTACTTTTTGCTCCCCGATTTCCCCCACAACACCTGGTGGTTGACCCAAGAGGAGCGTGATCTTGCCACTAACCGCATGGCCCTCGACACTGTTGGCAACCAGGGCGAGACGTCTGTGTGGGCTGGTTTCCGCCAGGCTGGAAAGGACCCCATGGTCTGGATCTTTGCTGGCATGGCACACATGCACTTGGCTGCTAATGGTACGCTAAACATGAATTTTTGGAAATGTGAACAGAACAATGTACTGACTTTGACAATAGGTTTCAAGAACTTCTTTCCCACCGTTGTCAAGACCCTCGGCTTCAGCCCGACCATCACCCTCGTCCTGACCTGCCCTCCCTACCTCATTGCCGGCGCCGTCACAATCGCCGTGTCGTGGTCTTCGGGCAAGTTCAACGAGCGAACCTGGCACATCACCATCTCCAAAGCCGTAGCCACTTTCGGTTTCGGACTCGCCTGCGCTAAAATCGGTGTTGCGGGCCGCTACGTCGCCATGATCATTTTCACCATCGGTACCTACGGCGTCAACTCGCTCATTCTCGGTTGGTGCGGATCCACCTGTGGCCAAACACCCGAGAAGAAGGCCGTCGCAATCGGTATCGTGACAACTGTCATGAACGCTTCGTTTATCTGGTACGCTTCCCTTCCTCTTTTCAGACGAAACTTGCAAAGAAAAAAACGACAGCCAAGCTAACATGATCGACCAGGACCCCTTACCTCTGGCCCAAATCCGACGAACCCAGGTACATCATTGCACTCAGCTCCTCGGCCGCCTTCTCCGTCATGACTGCCATCTTGGCCTGGGTTGCCAAGATTCTGTTCCTCCGCAAGAACAAGAAGATTCGCGAGGAGGACAGCGATGCTCAGAACTTTTATGTCTACTAAAGCACAAAGGAGGAGTGGAATACTCGATATACTTGAGCTATCTATGGTGCATGGGAATGTGAGATTTCATGGCATGATGCTTAGAAGCATCTTTTATGAATTGTTCTCGATGAGATAATGAGCAATGGAATAATCTTATTTGTTTTCAAAATATTTTCTGATGAAAAATTTCGAGTGGAATCCAGACGTGTGTAACTAAACTCATTCCACTCAATAGGACATGGGCGTGAACGTGAAATACTATCATCATAAATGCCATTGCTAATCCTAAACATCACATGCCAATTTGAAAAAAATAATGAAAAAAAAAATAATCTCACACAATTTCCCAATAAATGCACGTTTCGCCCCAACAAGACGAGGAAGAGGAAGAGGAAGTTATGACTAACAACCACTAGTCCCAATCTGACAACACACACACAGAGAGGCGAACACCCGTTTGTCTTGGCAACGCGGCTATGTACGTAACCCAGCCGTACCCAAAAAACCAGCGAGTCATTCTAGGCAACCACATTTTTGCAAGATTTTTTTGGGGATTCCCTAAACGAAGAGAGGGGGCTAGAAGCGGGAAAAATGGGTCATACATAATTGGTGGCTAGCTGGGATATTTTTGGAGGGTTAGCGAATCGGATGTTGAGGCTGAAAGGGGGAGGCGGGAAAGGGAGAGAGGGGGATATAAGAGAGTTTCCCTTGGGATACATAACGCCTCTTTTTCCTGTTTGCCGATTCTTTTTTTTTTTTTGCAAATTATATTTTTGTCTCAAGTACGACGTGTACACTGGTCCATTATTTTGATTTTGGAGAAGAGATGAATTAACTGACTTGATGAGGTCGGTCGTACAGTAAAAAGTATGGATAAGAGGGGGGGCGCTCTCCAGGCAGCAACTTAAAGCCAAGAGAATACGAGAGAAGAAGAAAAAAAACGAGAAGAGATATCCTGTAGGGTTCCCGAACGAGTAGAAAAAACGCCAGAATAACGCCGAGGCTATGCTTTTTGTTTGTCCATGGTGTGCCAGTCTGCGGACAACGGTAACGGGAAAGATGTGCGCCGAACCCGCATGAGAAAAGAGTAGGAGCAAAGAACGAAAAAAAGGAGGAGTGAAGAAGGGAAGGGGGTAAACATCATGACTGTCTCGTCATCCTAACATGCTGCGTCCGGTGCGGTCGTCCTCTTTCCCGTCTAGCACCACCCATCTCGACGAAATTGCCCGGCGGACGAGTCAAGTTGTGATTGCCCGCCTTGAGTTCCTTTAGATCCTCGGCATCAATCAAGCGTCGTTGCCATAGATACTCGAAGAGGGCAAAATCCGGTCGACTTGTGCGTAGCGTCTGGCCATACATGACATGAGCAGAAGCAACATGATGCATGCGAGCAGCCCAAGCAGCATGGCCTCCGCCCTCACATGCGTGAGCGGTCCAGTCGCAAAGTGGACACTGCACTTTCAAGGGGGGTTCCTCGCCACGGAAATGCGATAAGCAATGTCGCTCCCACTCTTCCTGGTTGTGCGAGATGTAGGCGCAGTCGAGGAACCAAAAAGCACATTCGAAGACGGGGGTGCGGCCATTGCCATGTGGCATTTCGAGGACGCCCTCGTGGCCCTCTTCAAGCAGCGGGTAGCCGGCAAGATGGCCAGCGAGGCCCGTACTAACGCTCGTCTCGGTAGGCGTGGCTTCGGTGCAGCACGAGTGCAGCGAGGGGGGACTATGAGTCGAGGCATTGGACTGGTGGACCAGAGCCGGCGCCATGGACGAGACGCTCTTGATGGACTCGTGTTCGAGCACCAGGCTGTCGGCCGCCGGGGCCTGGATGCCGTGCAGATATTGCGAGCCGATGTGAACCAGGCGGGCAGAGAGGTCGGGTTGCTGCACCCAGTCGTGCAGCGTGGGCGTTACATCGCGGTCGCGCTGGCGGAGGGCGGCCAAAGACATGTTTGGTGTGACTTGCGGGGTCGGCTGTGGCGCAGGCATCAGCCTCAGGCGGCGACGGGTCTTGATTGGTGGGGCAGAGGGGCAGAGTGCATCTTTGTGGCCTTGGGGACGAGTGTGGGCAAGGCGGTGCAAGCGAATCAGGACTCACTGGGTCTTTACAGGGTCTGCGAGGCGTACGCCCGGCATCAACGTCGAGGGAAAGATGGGGATGTGAGGAGTGAAGGGTAGGGCTTAGCGTGGGTGGGTAGTCTGTTCTCGTCCGGGTCGGAGGAGAGACTAGGTCGACGGGTGTCGTGGCCGGCGGGTAGGGAGAGTCGGGCGTGGGTTTTTTATGGGCAGGATCTTGACGTAGCCATCTCAAAGGAGATCAGATGGTTTCTGCGAGATGCGGCTCTGGGCGTGATTGGCATCTTGTCGCTCCTCGGCTCTTCACACCTACCGACCGCTTGCATCTCAAGTCGCCCATGGCGGGCAACCCTCGAGCAACGGCTCGCCTCGCCGTCAACGACGCTGAGTTGATTGGGCCGGTAGCTTGCAGATGACGGCTGTCTGCACAAGTGGGGTGACGCCTCTGAACAGCCGAACACCCTTTTCCCACTGCATGGCCGACCGCTCCCGTGCCACTACGAATTGCCCTTTTGTATGGCGCTTTGTCGGTGAACCCGCTGGGTTGTTCCGGATGAAGAGTCATCTGAATTGGCTTGGCCTACGCCAAGATAGTGCACGTTTGGGTGTCTGCACTGTGGCCATGTGTTTGGAGGAGAGTAATTGACTCTGTTAGTCCTAATCCGGCTATGTAGAGTACACATGTGCATCCATGGCTGCGGCACAGCAGATCAGAGCCACTTACTGAAGCATGGTCAGTAAAGTACTGTAGGCCAGCTGGGACACGAGTGTATGCTGTCATCACATACTATCACCGTACATACAACGTATATATTTACACTTTCATTTTCATCTTCACTGCGCGTCCAGATGGGATGATCGACCACCAACCATGCACATACAGTATGCAATTAATAACCAGCACCACGAATGGGGTAATCCGCTTGTCAAGCTGGGGGGACAGCCTTTCGGCCCACGCCGGCCGTACCAAGCCCGTGTTGACACATGCCTGGCTTCGTACGTCCAACACCAGGGCAACTCGAAATGTCGCCCTGAGTATTGGGCGAACGCCATCTGTAGGCAGTGTTGCGGTCCCAGCGTAAGTATGCGCCCATGACTGGCCCTTGGCATTCTGATGTCGCGTTTCATACGCGAACGATCCCTGCTGCTTCAAGCGGCCTGCGACACAACCTCAGCACAAAACCACTGCCGTGCGCATGCGCACCATCCCCCCTCCCCCATTTTCCGTGGCTCGCAACCTCTCTTGGCCATGTTCTGGTTTCATTCTGCAGCTCACATTCAACTTCTTCCACGTGAACTGATCTGGGACTCCCGACGCCCATAGTACCTATCTACAGTCCCAGCCGCCCAACATCTTAGCTCCTCAACGCTACCGTCTCAGATCCTCGTGTCACGACACTCTGCCGTCGCGGCATGTCCTAGGGAGCGCGATAAAACTGGAGACCAACCTTGCATTGCAGCCGCAGCCACCCCTTCCCGCGCATGACCACTTTCCACGAACCGTCATAGTGTCCGCGGTACCCTGGATTCGTCTGCTTCACCCTTAGGCCGAGCTTCCGCTTTACGAACGACGCTGTCGCTGCTGTCGCTGCTGTCGTAATACTCGCTCGCTCTAGAAGCCAAAGATCGGCAAAACTTCCATGCCCATACAACGCCATAACATCATACGGAAATACCGATCGACCGCATCGCTGCCCACGCCTTGGGCGACATGCTCACACTCGCCTCGCTCTACAGCCTCCCTCCCGTACTCCTCAGCCTCACAGTCACACGCGCCTACGCATCCCCAGATGGAGTTATTGGTGACCAAAAGACGCATGTCCGCCCTACCTTCGCGACCACCTTGACGGGCGGCGAGGGCTGTGACCTGTCCAAGATTGACGACATTCGCGATGGCTTCTCCGAGATGGTCGCCCTGTTTACCGCTGCTACGCCCTTTGACCCCACCTCACAGCCAGGACGAGAGTTCTTCGGCCCCTCGATAGCTGGAAACCACACCGACATGATTGCCAAGAATCTGCAGCGAGCAGCAAACTACGGAGTACTCGAGGGAGAGGACGGTGCCATCAATTCCGACATCCACATACGATGCGACGACCCCATGAACCTTTGCGACAGAGGCAACAGACGCGAAGGTAACCACGCCGCCTACAATATCGGCAACGAACCGCACATTGTTTTCTGCTCCGACTACTTTGCCATGGACCCCCTCGAGGCGCGAATAAACAACAAGGCCGAAGACCAAATCCAAAAGGACCGCCTGATGGAATACTACAACCGCGCTTCTCTGTGGGCACGCATGGTGATGCATTTCTCCGACATTGGCACAGCATTCGTCCAACGGCCCACTCCTGCACCTCCAAACTCGACCACCGAATGGATTGTAACCTCTTCTGAAGGCCCAATGAACACGTCTGTGCTCGCTGGCGTGCTCAACGAACAAGGTGATGGCCCACCCGACCGCCAAACCCTCAAGTACGCATACGGTGCCACACGCGCAAAGCTGCTCGCCACTTTGTCCACCCAGATGCCCTACGATGCTGCAAACAATGCCGAAAACTATGCTCTCTACGCCCTCTCGCAATACATTATCAAAGACAAGAAATTTTACCCTGCAGTCCCCATCATGGATTTCCCAAACGAAGCAAGCGTGCTTACCAATGACAACCTCCAGGATGGCGAAAGATGCAAATATGCCTTTTTCGACATGTCTGACGTCGTGTGAGTTTCTCCTTTCCCCCTTGTTTCTTTTCCGTCCTAGCGTGGTGCAGACATGTGCATAAAGGCTAATGTTACAAACAGTGCAAGACCGTCAGATATGTTATTAGAAGGTGCGCCGCTACCCTCTGCAGGCTCATCTTCTTATGCCTTGTCTTCGGCCGTGATAGGCATAACCGGCGCTGCCTTGGCGTACGCCTTCATGGCCACGTCGATTGGATGAAGCGGGCCAAAGCTGCAAGAAACGCCAAGCATTTCCGCGTTTTGATGGAAATTTCCAAAGAAGAACACAAACAAAGCTCTTCTTAGGAGATGTGGATGGTATGGGAGCCATGTGCGCTTTCCAACACCCCCCTTGCTAAACCTTGTGTGTGTGTCTGGCAACATTGATTGCCTGATGTGAACCCATGGTGGACAGACATCGTATGATGCAACACGGGTCCGGGAAAGCACCTCCTCGTATTGGATGGGTACGTAGAGCCCCTAACCCTGTCATCATTTTTGATGACGCTTTCGATCTACAGTACAAGCAGATACTTGGATTATATGGAAGCGTAAATGACTACGTCTGGCAAGGTTTGGGTGCGGGAATGGACTATGGGCGCCAAGGAATAGTAATTTTGACTCCTTAGCTACACGCTAGGACCTAAAATCCCATGATGGTTTTTTTTCGACTGGCTGGTTGAAGAAATCAAGACGAACAAGAGATGGTGTAGAAGTCTTTGACCTTGATGTCCTGGCCTGTTCGACATAAATAGAGAAGATAGTAATAGTAATAGTCAAAAAACAAGTCCCGGTTCGACGACGACTATATTGTAACTTCTGTACCTTCCCTTGAACAGTCAACGAGCTGCAAACACCGAAAGTGGCGATATGTTCTGTTCCGATATGTCCTTATGGGCATCAAGAGCAGGTATGACTTTGTGAAGTAAGGCATATGCAAACCAAAAGGCAATCGTGTACTACCCAATATGATGCTTCGAGGACTGTCCTCGCATCCTAGGTGAAAAAGGTCGTTGAGCCGAAGGTGGATTCCATTCCGGCCGCTTCCTCGTCGGCCTTGAAGAGCCATATCCACCCTGTCGATTCTTCATAGCCTGCACCACGGCCTCGATGACACTTCCTGTCTCCGTGCGCACCTCTGCATATTTAGCAGCAATCAAGGGCTCCTGAACGTGCAATCTCAGGCTGCCCGTCAGATCCAGTTTTTTGCCTGCTTTCAGCAAGTCCACGAGATCTGGTCTATCTTGAATAGCTTTGGCATTGACAAACATGCCATGGTCATCGTATCCTCGCTCTTTCAGTTCGTCTTTGACTGCATTGCGTAGACGGCGTCTTGCCCATGCTCGCACGCAGCTCGACTTGCTCAGATTGACGCCCGTGGTTGCATGCCACCAGAGCCCTTGTTTCTTGCGTTCTGCCTGTCTGCGCTTCTGCGTCTCGTGGAGAGGATGCGAAGCGTCGCTTACGACGTGGTTGACGATGAAGTTTTTGTATTCTGGCGCATAGCTTACCATGAACGTCTTGGGCTTGTTCTTAGCGAGGAGTGCGAAAGGGCTCTTCATGACTCTCTTTTTTCTTCTCTTTCTTCCTCGTTCTATCCGTCACGTTGGACGAATTATGCACAGTGACGTTTGCAAAAAATGTCGAACACAAAAACGGTCACAAGGAAGATGGGTTGGCTGCTCGGGTGAGCGCCCAACGCTAGGCCCAAGACAGGCAAGCGCAGGGCGTTTAGCGCCAAATGTCCAGGGCGGGCATCCCACAGTGACTGTGTCGGAATCCACGCGAAGGCGAAGCGGGCTGTGTGTGGTGCAAACAACGGGTCCCGCCACTACATAAGAACTTGCGCCCTGCTTTCTCAAGTTCCCCCGACTCCCAATCTCCACTTACAATCAACACACAAACAAGCTTCGACAACCGCCAGTATGCCGAAGAACAAGGGAAAGGTATGTTTGTCGTCGCTCCTTTTGGAGGGGCAAGGCTCCCCACTACATGCGCACACAACGTCCATGACGCTGCCTGGCCTCAACCCCCCAAGCAGCTGCCTCACCTCGCCTCCCCAAGGCGAAGTGGAAAAAAGCGCCAGCGTCACTCTATTACATTCCGCGCCAAGACGCCCCCAAGCAGCCCCAACCCAACATGCTAACGACATGGAACCATAGGGAGGTAAAAACCGACGTAGGGGAAAGAACGAAAACGACAATGAAAAGCGCGAACTTGTCTTCAAAGAGGAGGGCCAAGAATATGCCCAAGTAGTCAAGATGCTCGGAAACGGCCGCCTGGAAGCTCAGTGCTTCGACGGCGCCCGCCGCCTCGCCCATATCCGTGGCAAGCTGAGGAAGAAGGTCTGGATCAACCAGGGCGACATCATCTTGCTCTCGCTGCGCGACTACCAAGATGAGAAGGGCGATGTCATCATGAAATACTCTGGTATGTTCTTTTTTTGGACTGACTTCACCTACCCCAGGTGTTGAAGGAGGAAAGTTGAGGTGTTGATGAAAGATGTTTTTTTTTTGGCTAATTCAACTGTGCCTTTTTTTTTGTAGCCGACGAAGCCCGTTCATTAAAAGCATACGGCGAACTCCCCGAAAACGCAAAGATCAACGAGACAGATACCTACGGCGACCAGGGCGACGAGGGCATCGGTTTCGAATTCGACGAGGACCGTGATGATAGTGACTCGGATGAGGCTGAGGGTGGTGGCAAGAAGGAGATTGATATCGATGATATCTAAAGGGCCGAGAGAGGGAGAGAGAGAGGTCCGCCATGCTGTCTCGACTCTTTGCTTTGCGCTTTCCGCGGCTTCTGGCGTTTTTGCGGTAGCGAGGGTTGGGCTGCTCAAATGCTGCTTCTTGCGAGCGGGCGGATGGGGGAGAGAGAGAGTATGTGGTTATTCTAATCAAATCGACTGTAGTGACGGGAGGAAGTATCCAGTTTTTCAAGTTTCTTCTTCATACTTGACGTATTCTCCATGTTCCGCGACTCGAAATTGTCTATATTGAAAGAATGATGATTTGGCCCCAAACCCATCCAACATTGTCCCAAACCTAACTAAATACCTGCAACTGTACATCCTCATACACACTCCGATTCAAAAACCGA